TATGGAACCGGACATCGACCATCACATTAGCCAAAAGCAGGCCCATAGTTTCCATTGAAATACTGGTAAGTTTGTTGATTTAACTTTACTTGTTCTTCATTTTAAATATTGTATTTGTTCCCGTTTTGTTTTTTTACTTCAAAATAAGATATGTGCAGTGTGCATAGGAATTTGTTCATAGTTTTTTTTTAAACTATAGTCCGGCCCTCCAACGGTCTGAGGGACAGTGAACTGGCCCCCTGTTTAAAAAGTTTGAGGACCCCTGGCCTAGGGCCTATGAGCTATTCAAGGGCCAATAAAATTGAAAGCTGAGAAAAATCTACTGGCTCCAAGAAATGTTTTAGTTCCAAAACTGAAATTAGTAAATTTAACTATCTACAAAATGTGACATGTCAATTAGTCACAAACAATTCAACTTTTAAATAATTATATATAAATTACATTTGATGTGGGTTCATTTTAATATTTTCTTTGATGAGAAACAGGGCCTCTTAAAATAAGAGTAAAAACCTCTTTTCCATAGAGTTGACCTCTCTTAAAGACTTCATGACCATTAACACGGTCCAACTATGCCTTGACATTACTCTTTTTTAAAAAATATATATTTTATTGTTTTTTCACAGAGAGAAAGGGAGAGGGATAGAGAGTTAGAAACATTGGATGAGAGAGAAACATCGATCAGCTGCCTCCTGCACACCCCCCACTGGGGATGTGCCCGCAACCAAGGTACATGCCCTTGACTGGAATCAAACCTGGGACCCTTCAGTCCGCAGGCTGACGCTCTATCCACTGAGCCAACCGATTAGGGCGACATTACTCTTTAAAGACATTAAAAACCATACTTTATATGTGCAAAGTGCCTAGTAAAAGTTTACACATACTACCATTCAACTCATTTAATCTTTTAAAAAAAAGTATTGATTTGAGAGAGAAAAAGGGAGGGAGGGAGAGAGAGAATAACATAGATTGTTGTTTCATTTATTTATGTATTCACTGGTTGATTCTTTTAAAAAAAAATCATTTTAGAGAGAGTGAAGAAGGAAGAGAGAGACAGACAGAAACACTGATTTGCTGTTCCACTTATTTATGCATTCATTGATTGCTTCTTGTATGTGTCCTGACCCACAGCCCTGTTGAATCAGATGATGCTCTAACCAACTGAGCTTCAACTCATTTAATCTCTACAATAGTAAATTAAGAAAGGATGAATTAAAACTTTCAGATAATTTGGATATTTTGTTTTTCTCTTTCTTTCTTTTTTTTTTTTTGCCCAAGTACAAAATATTACAAATTCTGAAGAAAAAAATCAGAAACAAAACTGTTTAATAAGCACAGTTCAAATGAAAGCAAACTTCTAATTTGAAACAGCATATGTAGACTTTGATGGGAGACAATACATAGCATGTGGCTTCAGAGTCAAATACTTTGAATAAGAGCTATGTGACCTGGGACAAGTTACTCTCTGTGTGCCTCAGTATTTTCAACTGTAAAATGGGGATAAAATAGTACTTATCTCACAGGGTTGTTGTGATGCTTAAATCAGTTCATATATAGTTGTCCCAAAAACATGTATACACACTTTAACAGCTGATAGCTCAATTGATGTTTCTTTCTTTTCAGCCAGACTAAGCTTTTGTTGTTGTTGTTGTTAATCCTCACCCAATAATATTTTTTCCATTGATTTTAGATAAAGTGAAAGGGAGGGAGAGAGAGAGAGAAAGAAAGATCCACTGGTTGCCTCCCGCATGTGTCGGAAATCGAGGCTGCAACCGAGGTACGTGCCCTTGCCGGAATAGAATCCCCGACCCCTCAATCATGGGCCAACACTCTAATCCAGGGGTGGGCAAACTTTTTGACTCGAGGGCCACAATGGGTTCTTAAACTGGACCGGAGGGCCGGAACAAAAGCATGGATGGAGTGTTTGTGTGAACTAATATAAATTCAAAGTAAACATCATTACATAAAAGGGTACGGTCTTTTTTTTTTTAGTTTTATTCATTTCAAACGGGCCGGATCCGGCCCGCGGGCTGTAGTTTGCCCACGGCTGCTCTAATCACTGAGCCAAACCAGCTGGCTCCAGACTAAGCTTTGAACAAAGGAAATTCATCCTAAAATGCTACTGGAAGTGCGAATATGTATTTTATGTAGTTGAAGTTAACAGCTGATAACTCACTTAATTTTCACTCCTTTTCAGATTTAACTGACTTGAAATAATGGGTAAAGCCAGATTAAGCTTTGAACAAAGAAAATTTATAAATTAGACTTTTAAAAAAATATGTTTTTATTGATTTCAGAGGGAGGAATGGAGAGGGATAGAGAGAGATAAAAACATTAATGATAAGTGAGAATCATTGATTGGCTGTCTCCTGCACACCCCCTACTGGGGATCGAGCCTGCAACTCAGGCATGTGCCTAACTGGGAATCGAACCTGTGACCTCCTGGTTCATGGATCAATACTCAACCACTTAGCACACTGGCTGGGCTCCACTAGACTTTTTAAGAGGATACATAAAAGATAAATTTTATGGTACAAAGCCAGCAATAGTTGATGAAATAAGAGCATGCAAATACCGAATGAAATTATTCTTGATGTTTGTGATTCCATTGCTTCACGCTATCAGCAGTGCCTGGACCAAAACGATCATCAGTTTGAAAACAGGCATGGGCAAAATAAATTATTCACTTCTGTAGATTCTTTTAAATTTTAAAAATGAACTATATATTAATAAACACTGACTCTACTATAATCATTCAAAGTATGTATACATTTTTTGGAACAACCCTATATATGAAACACTCAGAATAGTGCTTGGCACATAGTAAGAGTTCAATGAATACTAGCAATTAATTATTCAGTCAAATCACATCAATTTTTTATTCTCAGAAATAGAGTAATTTAAGATTTTGGATAAGTCAATTCTCACCAAAACAACTGACAACATCCACAAAAACAGTCACTCATCTTTTATTTTGAAACCTCCTATCCTATGTAATAAAGAGGTAATATGCAAATTGACCGTCACGCCCTCACACAAATATGGCCACCCCCATGTGGTCACAAGATGGCCGCCACAAGATGGCCAGCAGGGAAGGGCAGTTGGGGGTGACAAGGCCAGCAGGGGAGGGCAGTTGGTGGCTACCAGGCCTGCAGGGGAGAGCAGTTAGGGGTGACCAGGCCAGCAGGGGAGGGCAGTTGGGGGCAATCGGGTTGGCAGGGGAGCAGTTGGGGGCAATCGGGTTGGCAGGGGAGCAGTTAGGCGTCAATCAGGCTGGCAGGGGAGTGGTTAGGGGTGATCAGGCTGGCAGGCAGAAGCAGTTAGGGGCAATCAGGCAGGGAGGCTGGTGAGCAGTTGGGAGCCAGCAGTCCCGGATTGTGAGAAAGATGTCCGACTGCCAGTTTAGGCCCGATTCCTGTGTGGCAGTTGGAAATGACCAGGCAAGCAGTCAGACATCCCTTGAGGTGTCCTGGATTGGAGAGGCTGGCTGAGGGACACCGCCCCCCCTCCAGTGCACAAATTTCGTGCACCAGGCCTCTAGTTTGTAAATAATTTCAAACTTAGAAAAAGTTGCAAAAATCAAAATAGTATAAGGAACACTCATGTACCCTTTACACATATTTGCTTATTGTTAACATATTATTCATTTGCTTTGTCATTTGTACTGCAAATCACTTCAAATCTGGTTGTTAGCCAAATTCAATGACTTGCAGCTATAAGAATGAGGTCTCCATTTCCTTGCTGGTTGTCAAATGTGAGCCATTCTCAGCTCCTACAGGTCACTCATTTTCCTCGAAATATGGCTTCACCCATTTCCAAAAGCAGTAATGAAGAATGACCACACGTTTCTGAATCTTCCTCCCAAGGAAGAGCTCCAGTTCCTTTTGAGAACTCACCTGATTAGGCCAGGCTCACCCAGGATAATCTATTCTCTTATTTTTATTTTTTAATATATTCTTTTTATTGATTTCAGAGAGGAGAGAGAGATAGAAACATCAACAATGAGAGAGAATCATTGATCAGCTGCCTCCTGCATGCCCCATACTGGGGATTGAGCTCGCAACCCAGGCATGTGCCCTGACCAGGAATCAAATCTTGACCTCCAGGTTCACAGGTCGATGCTCAACCACTGAGCCACACCGGCCAGGCTATTCTCTTTTTACAAAAAAATTTTTATTTGTTGGTTTGAGAGAGAGAGAAAGAGAAACATCGATTGTTGTTCCACTTATTTATACATTCATTGATTGGTTCTTATATGTCCCCTAATCAGGGATCAAACCCACAAGTTTGGGATAGCAACTAAGCTACCTGGCCAGGGCTATTCACTTTCTTCATGTTAACTAATTTTGGACCTAAATTTCTGCAAAATCTCTTCACAGCAGCATGTAGCTTAATGTTTGAATAACTGGGAGAAGGTGTATATGCATCAGGGGGCAGGAATTTGGGGCCATTTCAGAATTCCACCTACCACATATGAGACACTTTATTAGTCTATGTGTTAGTTTGCTGGGAATAGCAAAATACCACAGACCGAGTCACTTAAACAACATAAACTTATTTGCTCACAGTTCTGGAGGCTAGAAGTCCAAGATCAAGGTATCAGCAGGTTGTTTTTTCCTGAGGTCTTTCTCCTCATCTTGCAGATGGCCACCTTCTCACTGTGTCCTCACATGGCCCTTTTCTCTGTGTATGCACATCCCTTCTCTCTCTCTCTCTCTCTCTCTCTCTCTCTCTCTCTCTCTTTCTTCTTATTAGGACACCAGTCATATTTGGGGGGAGGGAGGCACAATTCAGTCCATAACAGTCTAATAACAAAACTAAAAGCTAATATTTGAGCTGCTAGGTAGGTACTGTGCTAAGCAATTTTTGTAGGCTATCTCATTTAACATAAATCATTAAATTATATATCATTATAAACATTATATAAAATTCCAGCTTTATCAAAATGTTTACTATTCTTGATTAGGAATTCTGTAAGATTTTTACTGTTATCTGATTCTTAGAGTGATGAGTCTAGATTACTATCATGTGCTTCCCGCGCTCCATTCTGAGTACATTTTCATCCACCGATTAAGTTTTATTGATCATCTAAGAGCTTGGTACAAAGATACAAAGATGAGCAACCGAATTCCCTGCTCTCAGAGACGAAAGGCATGTTTTACATGCGTCTCCGTGTACATTTTGAAATATCTTACATTTAAAAATCAATTTTATTTATAGAACCATTCTGCGCTTTTAAGTTCTTATGGAAACTGAGGCACTGAAAATTAAAATAAGGATTTCAAGAAAGAGGAAACTCCTGTGTATATTTGGTTTTCTTGAGCTGCCTCAACCCTAACTGTGCAGCGGCATTCTTTTCTGTGGGGCTTGCCTCAAGTCTCTGTGATTGGAAAAAAACACCTGGGATTTGAAGGTGAGAAACAATCGTAACATAAAAGCAATACATCTGACTGGGTAAGGTGCCTCAAATTCCTCTCACTCTGCTCAAGAGATGAAAAAAAATTTTCTTTAAAACAAAGAAAAAGAGAAACCCTTTATTTCCTTACAGTCCAAGCCGTTTACTTTTAACGCTCCTAACACGGAGACCTCTCCTTCAGGAGGCAAAGGCATTTGCAGGTACTGACGAGCATCTCCCCCGATTAGCAGGCCCAGTTGCTTCTCAGCTGTGGGCAGCGTGCGGTGATGGCACCTTGGCAAGGAGCCTCTTCCAAGCCCCAGCCCCAGCCCTCCTCTGCCCAGTGGCCGTGGGCCGGGTGTAGGTTCTGCATCCCTCTCCCTGGCTCATCATTCATTCACCAGCGCCGTCTGCGGGCGCGTGGACTGGGCGGGGCTGCACCCCGGCCCCACCCACGCCCCGGGCCCAGACCCCGGCCCCGCCTCCACGCGTGCGGCTGCGAGGCTAATAAATGCTTCGTGCGCCCCGCGCGCCTGGTCGAACTCCGCCGTAGCTCGACCGACCTCGGCGCTTCCCCGCATCCGCTCCCCAACCCCACCCAAGAGTGGGACCTCCGCGCATGGAGAGGGAAGAGCGGTACCTGGAGCTCTACCTGGACCGGTGCACCGCCCAGGTGAGCCTGGAAGCTGCCGCACCGACCCAGCGTCAGGGGCTGCGTCCCGCCCTAGTGCTTGAGCGCCAAGCCCTGCGCTGTCAGGCCTTTGCCTTCTTCATCTCGTAAAACCCCTAGTGACCCTAAGAGATGGGCTTGATTATCTCCATCTTTCAGTTGAAAAAGTAGAAGCTTCGAGAAGTGAAGTCATTTGCGGAAGGTTGCTAGCCAGACCTCGAACCTGATCTACAGTCAATCCAAAATGTGAATTGGAGGCACCTGTGGCTGCTTTCCGTTTGTGATTCCTAAGTGTTGTTTTCTTCCATTTTAAAAATCTTTAGAGTCAAGTATTGTAGAAGAGAGAGGAAAGCATCTTCAAAAAAGAAAAAAGAAAGAAAGAGAAGAGAAAAGGAAAGCAAGAGAGCAACTTATGGGGACAGGAGAGCCTGGTGAAAGGGGAATTTAAGGTAGACCATGTAGGGCTGAGGTAGAAATAGTGATGTGCCATAGCCTTTAACATTGCAGAGGAGGGCCCACGCAGGAAAGGTTCTAGGAAAGATGAGTAATGGTTCTGCAAAAAACCGTTTTAAAAATAAGTTTCTTCACATGTAAGGTCAAGGATGCAGTGAAGACACAATCAGTACATCCTCTGAGGTGTGTTCCCACAGGTAAACTCATAAAACATCCCCCTTCAATATCTTGTTGCCATTGCCTTAAATTTCTTGTGGTTTTTAAACGTGTTTACTTGTATTTTCAATTAATTTATTTTTAATTGAATTTATTAGGGTGGCATTGGTTAATAACGTATATCTCAGGTGTACAATTCTATAGTACATCGTCTGTATATTGTATTGTGTGGTCACCACCCCCAGTCAAGTCTCCTTCCATCCATTTTAAATTCCTGGTTGGAGTTTAGTTTCCTTGGGTGAGAGCTTTGCCCCCTGCTAAAACGCCACAGAGGGAAGAAGAGGAGGCACTGACTGTTGCAGATATTGGTGCTTTAGTGTAAATTGGCTGATGAGGTCCTTTCCAGCCAGGACTGAAGAGGCGAAGGAAACCATGGACAGGAATCGGGGCCATCATCCCCACCTCACTTTTCTTAGGGTCAGTCTGTGGGGTGGGGGTGGGGGAAGATCGGAGCTAATTATGCAATTCGAAATGAAATAAGGTCAAACATTGTATTTCAGGAGAATGACCGCATTCGTCAGTGTTTTCTTTGATCAATTAGTCACCCCTGCCATCTGCTGGACGTGTAGAACCAGAGCAATTGAATAGGATCTGGCCAGACTTTTTATCTTAGCGCAGGTAGCTTCATCACGGAGACGATAGAAATGAAGAGGCATTCCTAACTATTCTGTTGTCAGAAGTAAGATCTTCTAAGCCTTAGAATCTAAGGCAGTGGTTCTCAACCTTCTGGCCCTTTAATACAGTTCCTCATGTTGTGACCCAACCATAGAATTATTTTCGTTGCTACTTCATAACTGTAATGTTGCTACTGTTATGAATTGTAATGTAAATATCTGATATGCAGGATGGTCTTAGGCGACCCCTGTGAAAGGGGCGTTCGACTGCCAAAGGGGTCGCGACCCACAGGTTGAGAACCGCTGTTCTAAGGGATGAGGTTATCCTGCAAGCAGTGCTCAAAATCTAGACTCTCGGCGTGCAACCAGGGCAAAGCAGGCGGTAATATATGTACCAAGGTAATCAATTTTTTCCATAAAAACTCCATGAATTTTACACTAGCTGATTCCCTCAGTTACACACCCTATTCCCTCAGTTGATAGTAATGGAAGTTGAGCAACCTTCTCTCAACTGGAAATACAATATAATGATTTAAACTGTTCTTGCCATTTAAATTTCAATAACTTTTTCTTGTTGCCAATTCACATCACTAGAACATTTTCTGGCCTCTGCTTCACTAGAAGGAATAACACGGAGTCCTCAGGGGAGCCTTGATTAGCACTCAAGCTATATCTTAGACTTCCTTCCACTTACTGGTCTTCTATTTAAAATATGAATGTAAAACTCTAAAAAAAATATTTAAATCAACTAAAGTTTATAATCAATTTGAGGGGTAGAGTAAATCTACTCTCTGCAAACTACACATAATCTAGAGCAGTGGTTCTCAACTTTCTGGCCCTTTAAATAAAGTTCCTCATGTTGTGACCCAACCATAAAATTATTTTCGTTGCTACTTCATAACTGTAATGTTGCTACTGTTATGCATCGTAATGTAAATATCTGATATGCAGGATGGTCTTAGGCGACCCCTGTGAAAGGGTCGTTCGACCGCCAAAGGAGTCGCTACCCACAGGTTGAGAACCGCTGAAGAGCATGGTTGCTCAATTACAAAATTGGGTTTAGAGCAGAGGTCCTCAAACTACGGCCCGCGGGGCCACACGCAAATACAAATATTGTATTTGTTCCCGTTTTGTTTTTTTACTTCAAAATAAGATATGTGCAGTGTGCATAGGAATTTGTTCATAGTTTTTTTTTTAAACTATAGTCCAGCCCTCCAACGGTCTGAGGGACAGTGAACTGGCCCCCTGTTTAAAAAGTTTGAAGACCCCTGGTTTTTTTTTTTTTTTAAATATATTTTATTGATTTTTTTACAGAGAGAAAGGGAGAGAGATAGAGAGTTAGAAACATCGATGAGAGAGAAACATCGATCAGCCGCCTCCTGCACATCTCCCACTGGGGATGTGCCCGCAACCCAGGTACATGCCCTTGACCGGAATCGAACCCGGGACCCAGGGGTCACGACCCACAGGTTGAGAACCGCTGAAGAGCATGGTTGCTCAATTACAAAATTGGGTTTAGAGTGGCAACTTACTACAGACCTAACTAAAGTAGGACAAGCATTTTATGAAAAAAATGCTTTTTCTGGACGTTAAGATATACTTTTCTGTTTCTGTCAGGTGTGTTGTGACACTAATAGAACTTCAGTGATACTTTGTGGAGAGAGACAGGTCAGCTGCAATGCATTGCCTCTCATTCTGAATACGTTGCCTGCTGGCCATGGCCGTAGCCCGTGGGTGTGACATCCCGTTCTGTTTGTTGTGTTTTGTCTGTCTGTTTTGGGAACCACCTAGGATGACCTCGCCCCACCTGGGTTGCCCCTGCTCAGCCCAGTTGCACCCTATGATGTCTACATATATAATTCATCCCACCCGGAGGCTGTGTTTAATTCACATCTTGAAGAAGTCAAAGAAACATCTGGTGGTTTCTCATCTGTGGATCTTAGCTTCCTACCAGATGAACTTACCCAAGAAAATAAAGACCAGACTGTCCTTAGAAGCAAGGGTGAGGATGAAGAAAATTGTAAAACTCAAAGTCCGCAAAGTAAACTGCCGTTATCCAGCCAACGGGACGTCGGTCTGGGCTCAAACAGCAGCAGTTCGTCAAATTCCCACTCACGTCTGCGCCCTGGTGATGCTGACTCTGTTCAGCACTCTCCTGAGAAACCAGACACCTTGCCTCTGGCGTCCATAGCTCCCATGACGCCAATGGCCCCTGTTTCAGAAGGTTCTGAGATTGTGCCTCAACTACAGTAAGTGGTTTGTTGGGGCTTTTTAAATGGGTGGTGTTTCTGGGTACATACTTTATATTTCTGAATGTCATGACCACTAATTTCAGGATAGTAATGTAGGAAGAGAATTTTATTCAGATTTTATTATTCTTGGTTTTATCAGTTCTTAATAGATTGTGGCTTTAGACAGATTGGTTTTCTGTAAAATGAAGCGCTAATTCATGATCTCCTAAGAGAGCGTTAAGAATATATACATTATTGAAAGATTGCATTTCTACTAAGACACGGTAGTTGCTGAAAATTGTGGTTGGGGTTGGTTAAACATAAAAAATATAAAGATGTAAAACTGAATTCTATTTGCAAGTTGATTTGAATTGAGCTATTTTGAGACATAGTTTTGAAAAAGATTTAGCACTTAATTTTAGTCAACCAGTCATAACATTTTAGGAAAAACTATTTTACTTTAATACCTCCCTTTGAAATTTTTACATTTTACCATGTTACTAAGTATTTAGAATAATTCTTCCTCTAACAGGGGTGGGGAACCTTTTTTCTGCCAAGGACTATTTGGATATTTATAACATCATTTGAGGGCCATACAAAATTAGCAACTTAAAAATCATTCTGCTATATTTGGTCAAACATTTAATTAACTCACCCCTAATGACGGCCAGACCAAATGATTTCTCGGGCCTGCTCTACAAAATCACTAATGTACAACCTATGAAGTGAGGAAGTTAGTTTCAATTCTTTTTCAATTTTTATATCCTATATAATTTTCTAAGTTGACTTATCCCTTTAGGAATATAGTTTCCACTGCAAACCTTGCCTGTAAATTGGATCTGAAGAAAATAGCTTTGCATGCAAAAAATGCAGAATATAACCCAAAGGTAAGCTTTCTCACTATTCCTTTCAACAGTTAGCTTCCTCTTAGATTTACTTACTTCCATATGATCAAGATATTGATTTATTTCTTTGTTTTATTTTTTTAAAAGAGAATATGTGTTAGTGGAAACCTTTGGGCAGTGGTTCTCAACCTTGGCTGCACATTAGAATCACCTGGGAATCTTTTTAAAATCCTGATTTCTGGGTCTCATCCTCCGGAAATTCTGTTTCTTTGTTACTAATGTTGTGGCCTCACCCCATAACAAAGAAACAGAATTTCTGGAGGATGAGGCCTAGAAATCAGGATTTTAAAAAGATTCCCAGGTGATTCTAATGTGCAGCCAAGGTTGAGAACCACTGCCTTTGGGTAACTCAAAAGGTTAATTGCCTCACTGTCTGTTTTGAAGTTCTAAAAAATAATCTCATTCTCTATTCTGAATAAAGCAGTAATTGAGCAATTCCTAAAAGTTAAGATCTTTCCATTTTCATTCAGAAGGTTTTTTCATTTCAGTATGACTATTTTCAGCCTGACTATGGGGGTGTTAAGTTTTTTAAAATGATATCATATTTTTAGAAATAATTTTTCTAAATGTTGTCCCGCCTAGCTGGCACTTGGGTATTTTTCCAGTTATAGCTTCTCTTCTTTGAGAAAGCTAAATTGTTTAAAGTGTAAAAATTCAAGCTTCTTCTTAGTAATGTAAGATTCAAGGAATTCCTACCCCGCTTCAAAGTTTAATAAAATCTATTCTTTCCTGTGTCCTGCTAAGGCCAGGCATCCCATATCAGTGGCCTATTTCCCTAGGAAATGGATTTGTTAGTTTGATTTACATTTAATGATTTGGCAGGCTCTGTACTTAGGAGTACAAAGTTGAGTAAGACCTGGGAAAAAGTTCACTGTCTTGGGTGGTGGAGGATTATGAAGTTAGATGAAAAAGACCACTTTGATAGGAACCCAGAGGACCTTGCCAGCATCGACTCTTTATAGATGATTTGTTTTTTGCTGTTGTGGTATTGTCATTGCTGACATCTGAATCCAAATGTTACCTGAATGTTACCCGAATGCAATATAGCTTTCCTTTTAATATTTCACATAGCTGGACAGAACACAAGGCTCTTTTAGCTGCCACACTATTGAGCAGTCAGGATTTTAAGCATATTTTATTCTCTACCATCCTCAGCTCTCCCCTCATTTTATTTCAGGGTATAGGACGTGTCCACACTTGGACTTCACAGCCAAAGAACTTGTCTTGCACTTGAATGTGACAAAATGGCACTGGGTGAGAGTGCTATCTGTTTTTGTTTGTTAATCCTCACCTGAGGATTTTTTTCCCATTGACTTTTAAGGGAGGGAAGGAGGGGGAGAGAGAGGAGGAAGACACAGAGACAGAGAGAAACATTGATGTGAGAGAGATGCATTGATAGGTTACCTCGTGCAAGTGCTCCGACCAAGGCCAGGGATTTAACCTGCATGAGCCCTTAACTCCGAATTGAACCCAAGACCCTTTGGTGCGCAGGCCAACACTCTAACCACCGAGTCATACCAGCCAGGGCGAGAATGCTATCTTTTTAGTAAACACCAGGAAATCGTTAATAGGACTTGATCAACTGTATGTATTTCTGACTCAGGTTCTTTTACTATCTGCTAACACTTCAAATCTGCACTTGCCAGCCCCACCTTGGTCCTGTGGAGTAGCTCTGACCCATAGAACTTGAAGTCTTCTTGCATAGTACCCAGGCCAGTTTCCTTCCCAACTTAAAGGGAGAGTGGGGAGGGGGGGAAGGGAGAGAAGGAGAAGGGAGTGTCTGTATAGGACCAGTAGGAAGAGCAGTTCACAAAGTGACATGTCAGTATGGCAGGCCAGTGGCCCTCAGCCCTCCCCTGCATCTGCCCACCTGGAGGGCTTGCCTGTGCTCCTGGCCTGTGGACCACTCTTGGAGAACTATGGCAGGCGAGAACTTGACGAATCAATTTTTTGTCATTCGTCTTCAGCATGCCTATCAATATACATATTCTGTTCTTTGTTTTGGCTGCTATGTAGTACATTCTTCAGTCTGGCAAGTCTGTAACATTCCTTTTCAGTTTTCTCAAAGATACTTTGAAATAAAGAGGTGGTTTTAGATCTCACCTTTAACATTGCCTGTGGAATGTTGGAAGTTAAATAACCACATAGTTTCCCTGTGTATGAAATGGGGATAATCATGGACTTACCTGAATCCTGTTATGAGGATAAATGAGAGAAACCTTGCACAGCTCTTAGAATAGGGCCTGGAACATATCGGGCCCTCAAATTTAGCTTCATGACCCTCTTTGTTATTTAACCTTAATTGTGGGCAGAATAGACCCAGACATTGTTTAGTTTTCCCATCCAATCTCAGTTTACTCAAGACTGTTTTCATCCCAGCTCAGCTTTTCAACTGGAACAGTGTTGGCTCTAGCAGAGGTTAACTGTCCTTTTGGCTTCTGTGTATAGAGGTTTGCTGCTGTCATAATGAGGATCCGAGAGCCCAGGACAACAGCCCTCATATTTAGCTCTGGGAAAATGGTCTGCACAGGAGCCAAAAGGTATGAGGAACACCCCCCACCCCCATCCCTACTAGAGGAAGAATTCAGTATGCAAAGTAAGGAAGGATAACATTATTGTCCTAAGACACATGGAGAAGCAAAATACTTGGCTAAATAAAGAGTTAAATTCATGCAATGACAAATTTGGGGTTAAAAACATTCCGTCCCATAATGCTGACTTCTATCCCACTTTACAGTCCCCTCTTGAACTAAGGGGGCTTCACTAGGCTGTTACAGCTTGTTTTTAAGGTGCAGTAAAAAGAAAATAAGCTACCATAGGGATAAAGCCTGTTGTACACCCGGGGATGTAGTTTTCGTGTATTTCCCACATTGCCAATAAATGGATAGGACTTTTTACAGGAAGGGAATTAGCTGTTTCTTGACCATTAGCTTGAGCATTAACTCAGGAGGCATCTCTTAAAAGGCTCGTCTTCCCAGGACCTCATGCAGAGGCAGCCGTGTGCTGCGCTGATGTAGAGCCTGTCACCAGGAAAGTGTAGTGGGGAGCTGCTCCTCCTCCTGAGTATCCAAGATGAGTAGCAAATTGGCCTCCTGAAAGGCTGTGCCAATTTCCCCTCATTCTAGAGATGCACTGAGTGTTCATTTTCTCCAATGAACACTGGTGTTCATATGTTTTATATTTGCCAACTTGATTGGCAAAAAGCTATGTTGTTTTAATCACATTTCTTTGATTTACTAGTGAGACTAATTTTTAAAAAAAATATATTTTATTGATTTTTCACAGAGAGAAAAGGAGAGGGACAGAGTTAGAAACATGGATGAGAGAGAAACATTGATCAGCTGCCTCCTGCACACCTCCTACTGGGGATGTGCCCGCAACCAAGGTACATGCCCTTGGCTGGAATCGAACCTGGGACCTTTCAGTCCGCAGGCCGACGCTCTATCCACTGAGCCAAACCGGTTAGGGCGAGACTAATTTTTCATAAGCATATAAACTGCCTATTGTTTTCTGCCCAATATTCTTTGAAGATATTTGTCTTTTGCCCAATATTCTGTGAAGATATTTAAGTATTTTCACCATTTTATACTGTAAATATTTTTCTCAGATTAATGTTATGGTGTTTTATAACTTTGGGTTTTATTTTTACACAATGAAAATATTTTCATGCATAGTTAGTCTACCCAATTTTTTTCTTTACAGTTTCAATGTTTGTCTTCATGCTTAGGAAGGCATTCTTCATGTACAACATTATATAAATATTGACCTCCATATATTTTTCTGGCCTTTTTCAGGTCCTGCTTTGCACTGAGGAAGGGAAGTAGATATTTTGATGCCTCTAGAGCAGCGGTTCTCAACCTGTGGGTCGAGACCCCTTTGGCGGTCGAACGACCCTTTCACAGGGGTCGCCTAAGACCATCTTGCATATCAGATATTTACATTACGATTCATAACAGTAGCAACATTACAGTTATGAAGTAGCAACGAAAATAATTTTATGTTTGGGGGTCACCACAACATGAGGAACTGTATTTAAAGGGCCAGAAGGTTGAGAACCACTGCTCTAGAGCTTGCTCTAGATCAGTGATGGCGAACCTATGACACGCGTGTCAGAGGTGACACTCGAACTCATTTTTTTGGTTGATTTTTCTTTGTTAAATGGCATTTAAATATATAAAATAAATATCAAAAATATAAATCCTTGTTTTACTATGGTTGCAAATATCAAAAAGTTTCTATATGTGACATGGCACCAGAGTTAAGTTAGGGTTTTTCAAAATGCTGACACGCCGAGCTCAAAAGGTTCGCCATCACTGCTCTAGATGATAGAATGTTGTATATCTGTTCTGTCCACTGTGGTAGCCCCTAGTTACACGTGCCTATTGAACACTTGAAATATAGGTGAAACAACAAACTGAATTTTAAATTTAATTTTAGTTAATTTAAATTTAAATATCCATGTGTAGCCAGGGCTACCATATTGAGCAGAGCAGGTCTAGAATTTTACTTCAATGTAAAATAAATTTTTTTTAAATGGCCAATCAGTGCCCAATACAGTTATTGAAGAATCCATCCTTACTCCATTCCCCGCCCCAACCTGTTTTTATAGTTAAGTTTTTTTTACATGTGTTTGAGTAAGTTTCTAGGCTTTTTCTTTTGTTGATCTGTGTATCCTTAGACCTAGAAGTCTCCACTGTTAAGTCATTATTGGACAACTCTGCAAGATTATCTGCAAGTATGTTCATTTCGGTATTGTCTAAAACAGGGGAGAAACAAATTAAACATGTAATGGAGGTTTGATTAGATCATAAAATAAAATTGCATTTAGCCATTAAAATACACGCACATATATTGAGTTGGAAGGATGGTCACATTGGGTTAAGTTTGGGAAGGGAAGAGCAGGCAACTAAATTGTAGGTTTATTATCCAACCTTCACTTTAAAATATGCTCGTGCATTCACTAATATCTTTCCCTACCTGAATTTATTTGGTTCCTAACATTTGGTTCCTAATTTATTTGGTGAAAGAGGATAGTGAATTCAGATAATAAGAGATATTGTTATTCAAACCTATCTGGTTTTTGAGTTTTGGATAGAGAGGTGTGAACATTTGGTTAGTAGAGATATTAGAATTATCTTCACAAATTTGCCAAACCTCTTCTCTTTAGTTGTAATAACCAGAGTATGCATGGTGAGGGAAAAGAGCAAAAGGATCAAATTTATCAGTGGCTTTCACCACGGTGTGCCACTTCAAGGTTCTTAATCTATATTTTCTTTCTTTTTTAAAATATATTTTATTGATTTTTTTTTTACAGAGGGGAAGGGAGAGGGACAGAGAGCCAGAAACATCAATGAGAGAGAAACATCGATCAGCTGCCTCCCGCACACCCCCTACTGGGGAGGTGGCCGCAACCAAGGTACATGCCCTTGACCGGAATCGAACCTGGGACCCTTCAGTCCGCAGGCCAACGCTCCATCCATTGAGCCAAACCAGTTAGGGCTTTTATTGATTTTTTTATAGAGAGGAAGGGAGAGGGCTAGAGAGTTAGAAACATTGATGAGAGAGAAACACTGATCAGCTGCCTCCTGCATACTCCCTACTGGGAATGTGCCCACAACCAAGGTACATGCCCTTGACCGGAATCGAACCTGGGACCCTTGAGTCCGCAGGCTGATGCTCTATCCACTGAGCAAAACCGGTCAGGGCTTACTCTATATTGCTAATGTTTGTATGATAACATGTATGTAGTCTTTGTTAGTTTTTTTTTTTTAGTGGAAATTTCTATGTGATAGTAATAACTGATATCCCAGAAACTACATGGTAATGAAACCTTTGCAACTTGATCTTATAAACACATAGGAAATGTAAGGGGTCAATTAGGCAAAATGTAGTTTTTCAAAATAAAAACATTTTGTTTCACTGCTAACTTGGGGACATGGCCTTGCTAGGGACATTCCAGGAGTTAGAAGCGGGTGAGGAGAATCAGCGTGAAGTGAGGCAAAGTAGGTGAAGTAATGAATACAATTAAGAATTGTAATGAATACAGTGTTGGGAAGAATCCAGATAGAAAGCGAATAGAACACTTTCTTTGGTCCAGCAAACACATTCAACCTGGCTTCTCTTTCAGATGCTTCTGAGTTTCAGCTTAAAGATGGGCCAACCCATAGGAGCGGGTAGAGTTCACATGATTCACCCACCAGGTGCTGCCCCAGTTTGGCAACCCCTGCTACTCATTCTTTCGTTTGAGCAGGGACCATTGAGAAGTACCTAATGAAAACGAAAGCCTCAGGTCTCAGGATTTCACCTGTTCTGACATGGGTTTAGGGTTGGAGTAGGACAAGCACTTAGAACAGAACCACAAAGTTGGATTAATTAATTAATTAATTATTTCTCATATTGGATGAGTTCAGTAACAATTGTGTGAGAAAGCCTGAGCAGAACTGGGCAGGTTTTGAAGTATTTTCACATTTTTGTTAAAATATAATTTGCCCCATAAAGACCCAAGTCTTACATCATGGGTCATGTCTGTGCTGTTCAACTGGCATGAGTCTTCCTCATGCCAGTTGATTTATTTATATATATATAGATAGATAGATAGATATATGCATTTGTCCTTATTTTTGTTGCTGCTGTTTCTATCTAAATGGCACGCACTTTTAGAGCAAATGGGTGGTTCTAAAACTTTAGTGAGCATCACAGTCACTGGAGGGCCCCCACCCCCAGAGTGTCTATAACTCTGAGACAGAACCTGGGACTCTGCATTCGAACAAGTTCCCAGGTGGTGGTGGTGCTGCTGCTGCTGGTCTGAGGACACACTATGAGAACCAATGGAAGAGTTAGTTTTATCTAAAAACACTGAAACTAAGAAAAAAAATACCTTATATGTGATAGATGACGAATTAAGACAAAAATATGTTTATGATTCAGTTCAACAACTGTACTCGGTACCATACTGTTTACTAGGTGCCAGAGACAAGACTAGAAGATGTAGGTTCTCATGCTGCAAATCTACAGATTCATAGTGTACTTTGAAAGATAAACATGGTATAAAGGTAGAAATACAATCAAAGGAGCGTGTGAATACAGCCCAAGTCATATGGAGGACATGATGATTTGTCATCTTTAAACACGTTTGCCCCTCCCCAGTGAAGAGCAGTCTCGACTTGCAGCGAGAAAGTATGCTCGTGTGGTGCAGAAGCTCGGGTTCCCCGCCAGATTCCTCGATTTTAAAATTCAGAACATGGTTGGAAGCTGTGATGTGAGATTTCCCATCAGGCTGGAAGGTTTGGTGCTAACCCATCAGCAGTTCAGTAGGTATGATTGTTATAAAACTTGACTTTGAGTTTGCCAGCATATTAAGTTGGATTATGGGCTGCTTTTACAGTGGATCTTTTAGAAGAAGTATCCTTTCTGTGTGTGTAAAGGCACAGTATGTGAAAGGGTTAAGATGCTGTGCCTAAGTCCTCATTAGTTACCATATATGTTCAATCTTTTGAAGTAATAGTTCTTAAATTAAATTGAGTAGTAACCACCCAGAAAGCTTAGCATTTGTAGTTCTAACAAGCTCACAGGCAATGCCAATGAGCTGCTGGACAGTGGCCCACAAAATACCTTCGCTGTAGAGATTTCTCAAACTGTACATCTGGCTTGGAGGTGACGGCAGTGGAGGGAAGAGAAGGGGTATGGGATGGGGTAGGCTAGTCGGAAGGGGCTGACAGCTGGTGAGGGGAGAAAGGGTTGAAGAGAAGGTGAGAAAAGAATAGTCATAGCACGTTCTATGAAGACAATCCCATCTCATGTTTGTCCTGTTGGGTTGTTTGAGGGTGGTGGCGGTGATGGTGGTGGTTGTGTGTGTGTGTCCCATCACAATTTCTTCTGTAATACTCATATTCCTAGGGGAGTATGTCCAGCCTGCCTGGCTTCTTTAAATGTAACTTTTCATCTCACCAGCAAATGCTACTGCTGATGTTCCTCCCCCTCCTCCCTCTCCTCCCTCCCCTCACTCTCCTCCCCCTCAAGCTACTTTGGGGCTTCTCCCATCCGTCTCAGGCTCTTAGAGAACAGTGCTGGAGTTTGGTCCAGCAGTCGCCAACTGGTGGTCCATGGACCACCGGTGGTCTGTGAGGTCCGAAAGTTGGAGACCGCTGGACTGGTCAACACCAAATCTCACCTCCCCTTGGGATATATGGGCCTGGGTACTTGCACTGGCCTGGAATCACAGATGCTCTTGATCTAGCTTGACCTTAAGTCCTTTTCACTCCAGCACTTTTTCTTCTCTTTCCCTTTGGGCCATTCTTCTGTTTAATGGAGGATGGGGATCATATAGCTGTGCTTTCTCTAGTATTTGTTAGCTTTCTTTTGAGATGTGATCTGAACAGAAGTTTAAAATTGCCTTGTTTCTTCCCTAACATAAAAAAAAAAATTTTAGTTCAGCCCTAGCTGGTTTGGCTCAGTGGATAGAGTGTCGGCCTGTGAACTGAAAGGTCCCAGGTTTGAGCCCAGTCAAGGGCACATGCCTGGGTTGTGGGCTCGATCCCCAGTGGGGGACTTGCAGGAGGCAGCCGATCAATGATTCTCTCTCATGGGATAGTTTCTATCTTCTCCTCTCCCCTTTCCCTCCCTCTCGGAAAACCAATTAAAAAATAATATCTAAAAAAAAAATAAATAAAAATTTAAAAAATTTAGTCCATTCTGGAGATTTAGGCTTTTTATAATATTTCTTCAGGCAATGTTTTTTTCCCCTTGATTGTATTTTCTTTTTTTCTCTGCATGAACTTCTTTTCAGCATATGCTTATTGCGTGCCCATGATGTACCCACTGAGTTCACCGGGAAGTCCTGCCCCGCCCCCCCTTCAAGACATATCGCCTCTTTATGTATCTTTTTCTTTCTTCATTCTTGTGATTATTTGTAGAGTCATAGTAAAACCTCCATTGTTAAGAGTTTGTCAACACAACAAACCATCTTATCTTCCAGCTTCTCAACCATGGGCCTCCAGTCTGTCTTTCTCTGAACCAACTTTTTCTGAACATGTGAAAGATCGCTGCTTGGATTCTAATTAGACTTAGCATTCCCCTTTCTGGCCAGTTAGGGCTCTAAGATGATGTGGGCGCTTCATTTCATCTCTTCTCCACTAACATTGCAGCTCAGATTTAAATCTAGCGAGGGAGTACCCCTTGCCACTACTACCTTCTGAAAGATACAGGTGCCAGCAGGGCAAGAAGAGAATTCATCAGCTGCACTGCTTTTAGCCACATGGAGTGGTCCTGTCACTGTTCTGTCTTGCCTCTGAGCCAGTTTTATAATCTCATCCATTATTTTATTTTAATTTGGCAAGGAAGCCTGCTTTGTATTCCCACAGCTACCTCATTCGAGTCTCATTCTTGCCTCTCCCAAATGTTCTCCATCAGCCTCCATCCTTAGATTACGGATTATATCCTTAGATTATGTTTGTGACATCGGGCACTCTTTTATCAGCAGGTTTTATCTTTAAAATGATCTTTAATTGCCCGTAGCCCTGCGGGCAACCATGGCACACACCCGTTCAAATTATCAGGTCAAGTTTGCCTTACGTTAAAACCTCAAGTTCATTTGATTTCCCAGGTTCTACAAATTTGTATGTATCAGCATTTGGTAATACAGACATCTTCCTTGTTACTGGAATCTTCTCCATCAATCTTCCTATGATATAATTGTTTTCTGGTTTCCCTGAGAAGTTTTTCCCTTCTCTTTGATTTTAAAGTCAAAGATATCCTGATAATAAACATTTCTTAAATGAGTAAAATCTAGGTGGCTACCAGTTAGCAGATGCAATGGTGACAGTGACAATCAATGCAGCCATGGTCCGTTGGCCTCATGGAGTTCACCGTCTGAAAGGGAAGACACACAAACCAAAGACAGTAATGAAATATGGTAACTATGAAGGATGAACTCCCCCTCCACCTGGGAGTGCTCTGGTACCATCAAACAGGTTGACGTAATCGGGGAGGTGTGGAGGTCAAGGAAGACTTCTTAAGGGAAGTGACATTTAAGCTGAGACTTGAACAATAAGTCGAATTTGGGTTGGCCCAGAGATTGGCAGGTGTTTGTTATTCTCAGTCCTCATGAAGTGTTCTCCTTCCCTAACCAAAACCTCTTTTTCTTTTTTCTACCTCAACCTTCTCTTGAAATTGAGGCAGAGAATAAATACAATGAAGTAAGTCTTTAATCAGGAGATTATTTTTCTGGCACCTTAAAACCATAGTTCTGAAAGCCAAATGCAGTACACCATCATTTACATACTTTTTTTTTCTCTTGTCCCTCTTAGAATCCTAAGATTCAGCTGGGAAATCAAATGAAAACATTCCCTCTGTGCCCTCAGCCTCCCTTTCTAGTTCCCGTGGGGTTTTCCAAGGCTCCAGCTGGTCTCATCGTCTTCCCGGTGTCAGGAAGTGGTTAATGGGTAGAAGTTTTGACAGAGTGATGTGGTAGGACCACCCACAGCAATTTTGTGTACCTTTGAAGGGCAGCCACTGTGATGTCTCTTCCTGGAGCCAATCGGAGAGTTCACATCTGCTGTTGAATGGTTCTTTGCAGAATGGAATGGGGTTTTTCATGTCACCTGGATTTCCTTAGTTGCAATTATTCATGTGTATTCTAGTGTTCCATTTCTCAGATATCTTCTTTTTCTTATATCTGTTCTCCATTAGCAATTGTTTTAAGAATAGTTTTATCAGCTTTCTCTTCCTGACCTCTCTTTTGTAGACTCCTCAAGCTTTTCCAATTCTCTCTCCTTTTTTCTTTTTTGTTAATCCTAGCCCGAGGATATATTTTCTCCCCTCCGATTTTTAGAGAGAGTGGAAGGCAGGGAGGGAGAGAGAGAAAGAAACATTGATGTGAGAGAGACACATCGACTGGTTGCCTCACACACACACACACCCCGACCAGGGCCAGGGATCAAACCTGCAACCCAGCTACGTACTCTTGACTGGGAATCGAATCTGCAACCCTTCAGTGCTCAGGCTGATGCTCTAACAACTAAGCCACATTGGCCAGGGCAGTTCCTCTTCTTTGTGCTGGAGTGTGGGGAAGCAGTTCTTAGCCCTATCATCCTTTGCTCCGTGGAGCAGCCAGCTTACTATTTAGTAGTGAATAACAGTGAGTTACTATGTATAGAAACAAATCCTGAATTTTTAAAAGTTAGAATAGCTTAGTTTTCTTTCTTTATATAGTACCTGTCCAAAGACAAAAAACAGTGGTTTAGAAAATTTTTTAGGTCTAGCAGCTAAAAATGATAACTTTATCAGCTCATAATGAGCATACAAAATATGCTCATTATTAAGGGAACTTGGAAAATTTAGAAAACGTGTTTATGTATTTTTATCAACAGACTTTTTTGGAAAGATGGTGAACATTTAACCAACAAATGTTAATTTATTAATTAATTTATTAATTTTAATAAATTAAATCTGATACCTTAAGTTACCTTAATTTCTAATAGCTTAGGATGACATGCACTTGAAAAAAATATCATGACCCAAAATAAATTCTGTTCTTGACTGGCACAAGCAATTACCTAGGATGCTCAAGACTACTTTATCAAAATGGCCAAAAGGTTTTTGGCAAAACAGCTTTTTAAAACTGCTTTAATATGCAGCTTTAATATATACTGGGTCTGGAATATTATGGGAAAGTAGTTATAGTGCTATTTTTAACTTTTTCCTTTTACATCTTAACAGTTATGAACCTGAACTGTTTCCTGGCCTTATTTATAGAATGGTAAAGCCACGAATTGTGCTGCTTATCTTCGTATCTGGAAAAGTTGTGTTGACAGGTAAGTTCTAAAATTATTTTCTGACTTTCTAAAATTCAGTAGCTATGCGTGTGCTTTGATTTTCCTTTTAAATAGCTTTGTTCACCATTATAAAGTAATTCTATTATAGAATACCTCGGGGGGTGGGAGCAGAAAGGAATATAACAGCAGTTCTCAACCTATGGGTCGTGAGACCCCTTTGGAGGTCGAACGACCCTTTCACAGGGGTCGCCTAAGACCATCGGAAAACACATATATAATTACATATTGTTTACAGTAGCAAAATTACAGTTAGGAAGTAGCAACGAAAATAATTTTATGGTTGGGGGTCACCACAGCATGAGGAACTGTATTAAAGGGTCACAGCATTAGGAAGGTTGAGAACCACTGGAATATAACTTCACCCATCAGTCCCAATACCCAAAACAATGTAACTTTTTTGTGTTTTTATGTCATTTTGACATGTATTCATATTTACATCCTGCCTTTTTATTAACCATTGTAACATATGTAAAGTGACTCCTTGTTACAAACTCTTTATGAAGGCTTTTAACCTGCAACCAGCATGTGCCCTGACCAGGATTAGAACTGTGACCTCCTGGTTCATAGGTCGATGCTCAACCACTGAGCCACACCAGCCGGGCTAAACTGTTTTTGAAGGGATGTACAATACGGTTCTCCTATGTCATACCAGCAGTGTATAGAAGTATCTTTTTAAAAATCCTCAGCAGCACTAAAAAACAAAATAACATAAGAGAAAACTTTCTTTTTACAAGTGGGAATTATCTCACTGCTTTAACCTTAATAGTAATCAGAAATAGAAATTCATCACTTTTACTATCTATATATAAAAGCCTAAGCAACTGTTACAACCAAATGACCAGTTGAGCAGTTGCTATGATGCACACCGACCACCAAGGGGCAGACACTCAATGCAGGAGCTTCCCCCTGGTGGTCAGTGTGCTCCCACAGCCAACTCCCATGGCTGGCCAACCTCCCACGGCCCCTACCCTGCCCCCTGCCAGCCAGCCCTGATCATCCCCTATCCCTGGGTGAGATGCCCTGATCAGTCCTGATCACCGGCCAGGCCGAGGGACCCCACCAATTCATGCACCAGGCCTCTAGTATGCAATAAAGATCATTTTAGCTTTTGTAAATAGTGGGTACGTAACTTACTCCTTTTGTCCACTTAGTTTTTATTAGTTTTTTCCCCCCTAAAGATTTGTATGCATTTAAAATAATTACTCTTTGTTATATTTTTCCAGTTGACTCATCCTATATAATAAAAGGCTAATATGCAAATCGACCGAACGGTGGAACGACTGGTCACTATGATGCGCACTGACCACCAGGGGACAGACGCTCAACACAGGAGCTGCCCCCTGGTGGTGAGTGTGCTCCCACAAGGGGAGCGTCTCTTAGCCAGAAGCCAGGGTCACAGTTAGCGAGTGCAGCACAGGCCAGGCTTAGGGACACCCCCTCCCAGTGCATGAATGTTGTGCACCGGGCCTCTAGTATATACTAGTATATATGATATCACTTGGAAAAATAAAATGTGTAGTAATGACTTGGTGTAAGAATATAATTAGGAAATCCAAGTAGAATTGGAAATTGATATTTGGGTTGCCTAAAGGGTAGGATAAGCTTACAAATTCTTATCGAGAGATGATAGATGTTTAATAAACTTTGAGTGCTTACTAGAAAACATACATTTTAGCTGCTGAAGATATAAAAGTGAATATAACACATCCCCATCTCTAGAGCAATAAAATGGCTTAGATTTTTTAATAGCTTAGATTTTGTAAAATGTTAAGGTTCAAAAAGGACTCTTTACAAGCCTTCTGCCAGAAGCCAATTCTAGCATGTCATAATTTCAAGAGTTTCATCGAAAGGTTGATGGAACTTGGGGACTCAACAAGGGCTGAGTCACATATGTTATCAGCTGTTGGGAATGGCTAAAGGCATTTCCCCAAACCTAAAAAGGGATGATTGTTTGCTGCCAGACAGCTCAGGGCATCTTAATCTACATGTTATTGCCTCCTACTGGCCAAACACCTGAACAGCCTAGGCTAATTCTTCCAATCTGACAATGGACTCAATATATGAAACCCTGACCCTTTGAAGTGTATATCTTGCCTCAGGACAATTTGTGTTAATAAAAAGCATGGGGTCCTGAGATGAGGAGATCATTTTAGCTAAGCTCCTCTGACCCCCAAATGCCTTTCAAAGTTATGCTTCGTCTCTGGACTCCTTAAGTTACACACACAGCCTTTCTCCAGATTGCTGAACCCTTCTAGATACTGGTACAAAAACCCCGGCAGCCTTCCCTTACTTAACTCTTGGTAACAACCTTATGAGAAAGACTATTGTCCTTATTTTATAGGTGAGGAAACTGAAACTCAGAAGGTAAACAATTTGCCTGTGATTTCAGAGCTAGTTAATGGTAGAGCTGGCTTTTGAGCTCATATCATTTGATCTCAAAGCCAGTTTTTTCTGCAGTCCACAAATCACAGAATTTCCACCTCAGTCACCAAACTTAGGAATTCTGTTTATCCCCCAAAGTGGTGGTCATTATAACTGAAGGAAAAGACTGGTAAGTTTTGCTTAAAAGGCAAGAATCACCTAATCGAAGTCTGGTGCTACAAATTGGGATGTTTGATTATTGATTGATTATTAAAAGAAGTATGGGGCCACTTTAGGGTTCCTTTAAGTTTTTTGTTGTTTTGTGGGTTTCTTTGCTGTTTACATACAGTATTTTTAAATGTATTTTTCAATTATAGTTGACAATTTCCCTTATGAACATCTTTTTGTGTGTCTGTTGGCCATATGTATGTCCTCTTTGTAAAAATGTCTATTTATGTCCTCTGCTCATTTTCTAATATAATTGTTTGCTTTTTTGATATTGAACTGTATGAGTTCTTTATATATATATTGGATATTTGCCCCTTATTGAATATATTATTTTCAAATATCTCTCCCATTCTGTAGGTTGCCTTTTTGTCTTTTAATGTCTTTTCTTATTTGTTATTCTTAGAAAATCTCATATATAGTGATTTCAGAGAGGAAGGGAGAAGGAGAGAGAGAGAGAGATAGAAACATCAATGATGAGAGAGAATCATTGATTGGCTGCTTCCTGCATGCCCCCTACTAGGATTGAGCCTGCAATCCCGGCATGTGCCTGATGGGGCATCCAACTGTGACCTCCTGAGTGATGTATGGGTTGATATTCAACCAGCAGGGCAGAAAATTTCATTTTTGACTGGACTCTGAGGTAGAAGCCCTCAGAGAGGACAACATATGTCTCTTGGCAATCTGTTCCTGGTATTTTTGTTTGGGTTCCTTCATTCTCTTAGCAAAAAGTTTAGCATACTCATTTTTCTTAGGATGCTGTTTCTTCAGAGCAATAGGCCAATGTTTGTGTTGCAGGACATGTGGAATAATAAGAAGCTGAATATTGGGTGCTTTGGTCCTGGGATTCTTACCTTCTTTGTTTAGGGGCTTTCTCACAACATATTGGTGGACATCATGGTCTTTAGAGAGATTGAAAAGTTTGAGGATCCTGATAGCTCTTTTGGGCCCCAGGCAATGAGGCACAGTAGTATCAGTGAGACCAAAAATATCTCTCTCTCCTTTGTTTACAATGATCAAGTTGAGAACACTGAGATTGGCATCCACAGTGCAGCCCCGAACAGATTTGCACTTTCTTTCTCCAGTCCTCCTTGGTCTGTAACAGGAATGCCCCTTACTCAGAAGCAAGCCATTAGTCTGCCTCATGGGAATCCTTGTTTGTCATTCCCACCACTGACTGGAATCACATAACCCTTCCATTCTTCTCCCAGAGCGTCAGCAGCAACTTCTGTGGCCTTACACTTCTCATAAAAGGTATGGCATTTGCATTCATCTTCAATGAGCTTCTGGCAGCCAGTGGCTGGGAAAGGGATGTTCAGTTTCATCCTGAAGCAGCCAACTGCTTATGAGGCACCATGAAAATAGGGTTGCCTTTTTGTTTTGTTGGTGCTCTCCTTTGTGGAGCCAAAATTTTATGGGTTCAGGTCTTACGTTTAAGTCTTTAATCCATGTTGAGTTTGTCCTTGTGTATAGTGTAAGAAAGTTGTCTGTATTCATTTTTTTTGCATGTCTTTCCCGTTTTTTCAACACCATTTACTGAAGAGACTGTCTATACTCCATTGTACATTCTTGCCTCTTTTGTCATTGAGTTTATTTCTGGGCTCTCTGTCCTGTTCCATTGATCTATGTGTTTGTTTTTATGCCAGTATCAGGCTGTTTTGATTTCTAGAGCCTTATGGTATAGTTTGATATCAAATAGGATGATACCTCCAATATTGCTCTCTTCTTTGTCAAGACTGCTGTGACTATTTGGGGTCTTTTATGGTTCCATATAAATTTTAGGATTATTTGTTCTAGTTCCGTGAAAAGTGCCATTGATATTTCGGTGGGGATTGCATTGAATATGTAGATTGCTTTGGGTTCCCTTAAAGTTTTGATGCCAGTAATTTCATTGAGGAAACATTTAACTAACCTGACAAAATCCGCTTATTTTAACACCCAGTTACAACATTGCCAGTTACAAATCCTGGCAATGTTTATTTGTTGACTTTGGGTGCAAAAGAAGGAACACTGAATACACAAGAATTTCTCCCATAGCTGCTATCATTATCCAAGGGAACTTCAACTTCTTGGGCCCCAGTATGAAGTGAAGAAATTGTACTAGATAATCTCCCTAAAGCCCTTTGTGTCTAAAGCAGTGGTTCTCAACCTTCCTAATGCCGCGACCCTTTAATACAGTTCCTCATGTTGTGGCGACCCCCAATTTCATTGTTACAAATTGAACATAATTAAAGCATAGTGATTAATCACAAAAACAATATGTAATTATATATGTTTTCCAATGGTCTTAGGCGACCCCTGTGAAAGAATCATTCGACCCCCAAAGGGGTCGTGACCCACAGGTTGAGAACCGCTGGTCTAAAGGTTTCCTATGATAGAAAAGAATGATCACTCTCAATGTCTGGTCTCTCTTGGCAATGAGTGTTTTCTGCTCACCACAGGCTACCAGAATGTTATAGTCTTTGGGCTTGAATGCAATGCTCTTAGGTATGATTTTGTCTTTGTTATGCTAAAACTGAATTGCATAATTACTCAAAATTCTGGACCTAGATACTCTATTCCTCAATGAAATGTAAAAAGAACCTTAGTTTTGGTATTTGGGGGGATGCGGGGGGTGGGGTGGGGGGAGAGGAGTGGGAGTGTGTTTGCTATACATACTTCACTGTCTCCTAACAAGAAGGCTATTCTATTCAAATGTATTCAGAAGCCCCAAACGTCCATCAAACTAGAGGCAGGGAGTTTCTTTTCTTTTTAAATATACAGTAATACAGTACTGGTGTTTTATTTCTTCTCCAACCCACTCTTTGGTTTCTACAAAACCATTCTCTTTAGAAACTAAAATTTCAGTGTTGCAACAAAAATCTGCTGAGACAGGGTTTCTCCTACCACAAGGGTTCAGAGTTTCTGTTATCTGTGCCAATAACTCACCTTCTTCCCTCCCCCACATGCTTGAGGGTGGAGACTGACAGATAGTAAATGCCTTGGCAATGAATAAGTAACTTTTCCCCCTTATCTCTCAAATACTTAAGCTCATAAAAACTTCATCGTTGATTCTTTAAAAACATTTTAAAGAATTTATTGAAGTAGAATTCACATAACATAAAATTAACCATCTTAAAGTGAACAATTCAGTGACATTTAGTACATTTATAATGTTGTACAACCGCCACTTCTGTCTAGGTCAAAACATTTCCATTACTTCAAAGTAAAATCCCTTTCGTTAAGTAGTTTCTCCCTATTCCTCCCTCCCACTAGCCCCTGATAACTACCAATGTGCATTCTGTTTCTGGAATTATCTATTCTGGTTACTTCATATAAACAGAATCATACAATATGTAACCTTTTGAGTCTGGCTTCCCTCAGGTAGTTTTTGAGGTTCATCTGCATTGTAGACTGTATCAGTACTTGATTCCTTTTTATGGCTGAATAATATTCGGCTATATATGTACACCACAGTTTTATATCCAGTCATCTGTTGATATACACGTAGGTGGTTTCCCTTCTTGGCTGTTTTGAATAGTGCTGCAATCAACAGGCATCTACAAGTGTGTTATTGAGTACCTGTTTTTAATTTGGGTGGATACATACCAAGAAGTGGAATTGCCAGGTCGTGTGGTAATTCTTATTTTAACTTTTTTTGAGGAAGCGCCAAACTTTTCTATAGAGGCTGAACCATTTGACAGTCCCCTCACCAATGTCTGAGGGTTCCTATTAGCCTTACCAACATTTGCCATTTTTAAAATGATAGCTCATCTTTGGTTCTAAATGCTGATTTCTACCCGTTTCTCAAATCTGATGATCCTCCTTTTGGTAATTCCCTGTGATTAGTCCTGTAATTAAACCAGATAGCCACAGGTTATTTCTGTTCTCTTGCTGAGCCTTCCTCCTCTCTAACCTTTGTAGCTCCCAAGGAAGCCTTTATCAACTTAAGCTATTTTCCATTCCTCTTCATGCTAAGTTTTTATATTCCTTTCACTAATCTCCTTGCCTCCTTCCCACAATAATACCAGATAATTTCCTGATTAACTGACAGCCCATATACATAAGTAATACTAGGCCACAGCCCTTAGCTCAATGTGCTTTGAAGGTGGAAGTAGTTAGTGGTGGTAGGTGGTGGTGAGAGATGAGTAGGGACTGAATGATATCTCTCAAGGGTGGCGACCATGTCTAATTCATGTTTTTATCTTTTTAACTCCTAGAGCAGTTTGTTATTATTAAAGATCTCTGGAAATTTTTTTTAAAAAAGATCTCTGGAAATTTAAGAATCTTAGGGGTGACAGTGGTACAATTTTCCCCTCTAGTAATCTCTTACATACACTGACATTTAAAACTTTTGCTCCAATTTGTCTCACTCTGTTAGTCAACGTTAGAGATTCAAAATGTTAACTAGGGATAAGTGGATCCAAGGAAGTCTCTTTTGCTGGTAGCTAAATGCCTACAGGTAGTGATGAAGGTCGTGTTCTGGGGCTATATTCATGGCACACCTAGAGATAACATTCCATATTTCATAGTGAGTCCTATGTGGCTAAAGATGATCTGATATGCCCACATAGTGGAAGTACTAGAAAACTCTGGTCTGCAGTGTGCGTTTGTGGAAATGTGGCTGTAATCACTAAATTCTTTTGTCTTTACCAGAAATAAATGCCACTTCTCAGGTACACCTAAAGAGATGTCATCGTATTTAAAGTAATTGGAGATTACAATGAAATTTTAGTCTTAAGAAAATTTTGGGATTGTTCTTTTTTTTAAATATATATATATATTTTTTATTGCTTAAAGTATTACAAAGAGTATTACATATGTCTCCTTTTTTCCCCCGCCCTTGACAATCCCCTGGCCTCCCCTACCCCCCAGTGTCTTGTGTCCGTTGGTTATGCTTATATGCATGCATACAAGTCCTTCGGTTGATCTCTCCCCCCCCCTCCTGCCCCCCAACCCTCCCCGGTCTTCCCGCTGTAGTTTGATTGTTCTTAAAGATGATATAAAATTGGATTTCTTTACAGGTGCCAAAGACCGTTCTGAGATCTATGAAGCATTTGAAAACATCTATCCCATTCTAAGGGGTTTTAAAAAAGCCTGAGTATATCACTCAACATCTCAAAGTATATTGATGAGTATGTGCATAAGTCCAGGACAGAAACAACTGGATTTTTCTACCTTTAATTGTAGATGTTCCATGCACATTTTGACTTATTAAAAGGTGATTCTATGTGAAATGAAGAAAGCTTCTTATTTGAAATGACTCTTGTATGTTATTTTTAAAACAAGTAAACTTATTTCAGAATGTGAGAGATTTAAGGCCTTGCTAGCATGATTTTGTAGCATCATTAAAATTTAATGTTCTGCTCTGGTTAAAGATGTAGAGCATAACATGTCCTCTGAAAATGTATGGTGATATATAGAAATTTCAAATAACTGCATAAAATAGATACTATCTGTAATATCTAGCAGGAGAGAAATCAATGTGTCTGTTTTTTGCCTTTTAAAATATTGATTAAATGATCCTAGCTATCAGATACAGGCACTGTGAAGGATCCTGTTAGAATATAAATGAAACATGAAAGTCTGAAACCTTGAGGAAAATCACATTTTTTTTTGTTTGAAATGATCAGAGAATATTCTATCACTTAAAAATAAATCTTAAACTTTTAGGAACTATTCGATTTAGTGCAAGTTCTATTTTGAAACAGCATGGGGAATTTTTGCTTTTTGTGTGCCTTTATAATCCTACTAGAGTCCCAGTGCATGATATTCATACACTGGGGGGGGGGAAGGGGTCCCTCAGCCCAGCGTGCGCCCTCTCACAGTACAGAACCCCTTGGGGGATATCCACCTGCCTGCTTAGGGAAGCAGGCCTAAGCCGGCCGGAAAACATCCCCCAAGTGGTTCTTAGCACTGCTGCCGAGGCGGGAGAGGCTCCTGCGCTCGCCACCACCCCTGTGCTCGCCAGCGGTGATCCCGGTTTCTGGTTGAGTGGCACTCCCCCTGTAGGAGCTCACTGACCACCAGGGGGCAGCTCCTGCATTGAGCATCCATCCCCTGGTGGTCAGTGCACGTCATAGCGACTGGTTGTTCCACCATTTGGGCGATTTGCATATTAGGGTTTTATTATATAGGATTGTGTTAAAACAGATCAGATAAGACTAAGAGGATGGAGCAAAGGGTTTTGATTCAAGACCTAATTAGTTTGTGGAGTCATCAGCATTTGATGGAGATGTGGAGGTTAACAGGGAGGGAAAAGGCTAACATGACTCATAGCCCCAAGTGGTAGTGATTATGTCTTTCTCAAGAGGAGGAAACAGATTCGTGAGGAGAGCGAGCTGGCGGCCATGGTACATCATTGCTGCCTAGTGGGCAGTTATGAACCTCTAGGTGTGGAACTTGGGAGGGAAGTCCCTGCTAGAGAGAGAATTTAGGGCAGTTATCAGTTGACAACCTCCCAAAATAATCCTTGGGAATCACTGGTCTAGATAATTTGACCTATAAGCCCACTTTTCTTTTTTCCTTCTGTGGCTTAGGAGCATATTCAAACACTAATTACAGTACTCTGTTAACAATTTTATGACCCACCTTATTTCCCCCTGCCTGGAAAAGAAACTGGGAGTAATCCTATTTAGGTTATTTTCTATCTAGTTCAAATTCTTTCTCAGAGCATGGCCCAGACAGAGTGGGTAGGGGAGGAATGTTGGCCATTATTTAAAATTATCTTTTCAGAAAGATAAAAAGGTGATTTCTACGTTCAGTAGTGTGGCTGTTTCCACTGGTTAGCTATTTGTAAACTATTATCAGATTATTAAACGTGTTCACTTATAATTCTCACGATGCTGGTTAGGTAGGTACATCTCCATTAAGCAGATGAGAACACAAGCCAAGAGAGGTTTGGAATTTGCCCCAAATCACACAGCCATTAAGGAAGTGGGTGAGCCGCAATGAGACCTCATTCCAAGACCCAGCCCTTCACCAACCTTGTTTGGAGTCGTTTTAGCCAAAATTTAAAGCATCAAGCGAATTAAAGGAAGTCCCTTATTTTGTTCCCAATCCGTTTTCCCAGACTCCTTGGGGCATCGTATGACTGACTATTTCTGGCACGAGTTAGAGACGTAAATCTGTGGCCTTGGCACGATCCCGCGAGGATGACATTTTGTTGGCCGACTCGCCCCTCTAACAGAACTTCTGCTTCGGGACACGCCGCCCCTCCGCGGACGGGAAAGGCAACGGCGCCCCGCCCCCGGGAGGCGGGGCCAGGGCCTCGTCGGGACCCCGGCCCGCGCTCCTGGCGCCTCCCAGGCCCCGCCCCCTCGCCCAGGATGCATCTGGTTGAAAACAAAATCCCACGTGACTGGCTCCGCTCTCAGGCTATCATGGCGGCTCCCAGTGGGAAGGGAGCCCGGGCGCCGGAGGCTCCGGGCTGCGGGCCCCGGCCGCTCGCCCGGGACCTGGTGGACGACGTGGACTACGTGGAGGGGCTGTACGTGGCGGTGGAGCGGTGCCCGCTGTGCAACACCACCCGCCGGCGGCTGACCTGCGCCAAGTGCGTCCAGAACGGCGACTTCGTCTACTTCGACGGCCGCGACCGTGAGAGGTACGGCGGCCGCCACGGCCCTATTGTCTCTTCCCCGGGCGGCTCCTCGGCTCCGCGCTGGAGGCTGGAGGCTGGAGCCCGAGGCCCAGGTCTGGAGCCCGGACTCCCGCGAGAGGAGGGGGAGCTGGGGAGGGGAGCTGCTTTGCTCCCAGGGAACAGGGTCGGGGTCGGGGGCTAGATGGGGGAAGGTCGCCGTTTCCCCATAACCCACCCTAGAGCCTGGCCCCACTGTGCTCTGGGAAAGGGATGGACGGTGACTGGAGAGGTCTCCCCCCCTGTTGCTGCCTGAGAGTTGTAGTCTGAGCTCTTTGCTGCACTCCCATTCAAAGCTTGGTTTAACCTTTCTCTGTCTGAAAATACACTCATCCTCTAGGAGAGATCAGAAGAGAATCAGTCAAGTAAGTGGTTAAGGAGGGATTCGAGCCCGGGAAGCCTGTGTCGCAGCTGGACCTTGTTATCAGACATGCTTGCTCTCTGTGGACTGGGACTAGCTAGTTGCTCCCTGGTTGTTTTGGAGACTAAGGAGTTTGGGCATGTGTTTTGGCCTTGTTTTCAGCCGTGAGTTCAGAGAATTAAATTTAGGAACAAGTTTTGAAATCAAAACAGAGCTACAAGTCCTTGGTTAAAGTAGTTGAAGAGTTCGTGTGTTTAAAGGGTCTCTCTCCCAACTTTTATTTCACTAAGATCAGCTAACTTTTCTATTGCAAAAGTTCAGGCAGTAATTCACTTAATCCAAGAAGTTATTATCCCCAACTTACTGCTGAGTAAACTGCATAGTAAGTGCCCTCTCCTAAGGCACATAGTTGAGTGTAGGGACCAGAATGAAGATCCAGGCATCCTGAACTCTTATACCGTGCATTTAACCACTAGTTTGTACAGCCTTTATGTTTGGATTGTATTTGGAAATGTTTTGAGTTCCTAGTTTTCCTCTGATCATGAACGGAGTTTGGTTCTTTTTTTTTTTTTCCTGCTTTGAGATTTGTAGAATATAATCTTTAGTTCATTGCCGTGTTCCATAGATGCATTTGATGACTTTAGAAACTGACCTAATAAGTGATAGCTTTAAAAATTAAAGCAGTTTTTTAATTTTAAGAATACTAGGTATGAGACGGGAATGTCAAACTGGTGGAGTTTTTGAAGGGTTCAGTTCTGGATCTTCTATCTGTATGTTTTCCTACATCCATTCTCATGACTTAAATACCACCTATATGCTGAAGACTGCCAGACTAGATCCAAACCAGACCTCTCTGGAATCTAGAAAACAGCTGCCTGCCCAACATCTATATTTAAATTTGTAATAAGTATCTCTATCTTGGCAAACTGAAGTTATTTTCCAATATAAATCTGTTCCTCCCATGCTCATGCCAAACTCAGTAAATGGTAACCTTATTCTTCTTTGGTACAGGACAAAAAACAGTCTTCTTTGACTCCTCTCTTAATGCTACCCCATCTAATCCCATCAACAGATTCTATCCACTCCAAAAGCTATCCTAAGCTTGACCCTTTCATCACTACGCTGATCCACCAAAGGAACAATGCCTCACGAGCCTTTGCTTCCTTATATAGTGTTATTTCCATATTGCAACCAGAGTAACACCACTACTCCATTCCTCTCTGAAAGCTTTCAGGATTTCAGAGTAAAAAAGCTGACATCCTTAATCAGAGTTCTGCATTGCCTGTTCTCCTCTGTTCTATTATTTTCCCCTTACCTACTCTGTTATACCACCTGGCTTCCTTGCCAGTCCCCAGACTCACAAAAAACACTTCTGCCTCATGGCATTGCAGGCTTATTCACACTGCTGGGAGCTCTTCTCCCCAAAATACTCAGGGCTGCCTTTGTTTCCTTTAGGCCTCTGCTCATTAGAGAAACTCTTTTTCACCTCTCAATTAAAATGGTCCCCTCCTTTCCCAGGTTACCTGCTTTATTGGCTTACATAGCAATTATCTCCATCTATGGCTTACATGTTAATGTGTCTAACTGCCCTCCAGTCCAAAGGTGTAAGCTCTATGAGGGCAAGACTTGACCAGTTTTGTACTCTCCCATGTCCTCACATAGTAGAGGATAAGATTACAAGATTTGTTGAATGACTGAATGGATCTACCTCTCTTTCCCAAACTGTCTGATCCTGAATCATTTCCTTTTTATCCTTCGTGGTAATCCCTCTGTTAGTAAGCCAGAAGCCTAGGAAATCTTTCATGTATCAAATAATTGGCAAGTCTAACTTGATTTGCTCTAACATAGATCTTGAATTTGTCTACTTCTAGTCCAGACTGCCTTCACTTCTCTCTTGGCTACTTATTGGTTTCCTTTTTCTTTTTCTTTTTTTAACTCTACAACTTCCCACCCTCTCTGGCCAGCACACAACAGCCACTGTAGAAAACTAAATCAGATAATGTTATTGTTTTGCTTAAACCTTTCAGTGACTTTCCACTGAGTTTAAAATTCAAAAAAGTAATCTAACTAATTAAAAAGTAAAGCCAAGCTCCTTACCATGGCATATAAAATCCCATGTGATTTGGCTATTGCTTATCTTTAACTTTGGCTGTAAGGCTGAGTTAAAAATGTGGGCTTTGCATTGATACTGCATTGAATTGAATCCAAGCTCCCCCACTTGCTATGTGATTTTGAACAAGTTAACCTTGCCTATGCTTGTTTATTTCATTTTGAAAATGGTGTGGTTTCCAGTAGTGATTGCATAAGAGGATGCATTAAACTACTTAGCATGAAGTCTAGCATATATTAAGCACTCAAATATAAACTCATGCCATTCATGCTCAAATCGTCAAACACATTAAACTTTTTCACCACTGGGCTCTTCCCCTTGCTGTTCCCTCTGCCTGGAACACTTTACCTCCTGATTGGCATCTTGGCTTTCTGTCTTAACTTTAATGTTCCTTTCTTAGTGAGGCTTCCCTGACCTTCACTAAGGTAGATTCACACTTCCATCTCTCCCCCCGTTATTCCCTATCACAGTACCCAATCCCGTCTGGTACTGCACATGATATGTAATGTTATTTATTTGAGGAGGAGCTCTGCATCCACAATGTAGTTTCATGAGGACATGAATCCTGGTTTTGTTCAATCATCACCAGTATTTTGCACAGCAGCAGTGGAGCACACAGTAGGCATATTGTTGAAGGAATGATAAAAGGCAATAAATCTTTAAAAAATAATTTTTTTTTTTTGCTAAATCTGAGCATTAAAGTGAATTTTCAGGAGAGAGGTGTGTTCTAGTGGTTTTCTTTTTCTGACCAAGAAAAATAAAGAGCAAATACCAGAACGATTCAAAATTGAGAGATAAAAAAGAAAATTTAGGTTCAGGGACAAGAAGACTGCTAAAGTGGTCTGCTCAGCCAGCTTCATGTCACTTTTCCTTGTTCCCATTTCTGAACTGTGTATTCCTTAAGAAGAGGAGTTTGTTTTCATCATTCCCAGAACAATGCCAAATATCTGCTAGGATGAAAGAATCTCTTGAGACCCAGAACGATTGTGCTAAAAGCCAAATCATTTTTTATGAGCTCTCACTGGATGCAGTTATCTACACAAAACATTCTTGCAAGTTACAGAAGAGAAAGGCAGGTCTCTGCTCTCAAGGATTTACACTGACTACTAATAAGCCTCCAATTTCAGGGGTCAGAGGTTGGTTGTGAGGTATTTTTAGTGTTTATGAAAGTTTTGTACTCTGTGTTTTGCTTTCAGACTCTTTATGAAAAACTCCTCGCTAACTGTGGGAAATCACTTGGAAATAAAATATGGAGATTTACAGCACAGTTTAAAAACCCCTGTTTAACCGCTGATTCTTTTCAGTAAATTAGCCTAATTATCTGTGCTTACATAGATCTTGAATGTGATCATGCATATTAAAGTTCTTGTATTTGAGAAGGTGTGAGAGGAATATGTTTCATAAAATTTTACAATGAAGCTCATGACTATCCTTTGAATAGCAGGAGTTTTAAGTTTACTATTAAAAATCTTTAATGAACAGTTAAATTACCAGATAGTGAAAGAAACGTGAGCTTGCCAAACAAGGATTTCAGTGTAGATTTTGTCTTTTTTCGATAATCTTAAACACGTTACTGTTAAACATTGAAGGAAGAACTTGCCATTGTTCCACACCTGGGTGTTGCTGTTTACATTCCTTTGTTGAGCCTATATCTTCATAAGCTTTTTAGCAAGTATATGTCGAACACTTCTGTTTCATGGTCAAGACAGGATCAGAGGCTATGGATACTGACAACAGATTGGTCTGTTTTATTCTGTCTTTTCCCATGATTATATCTACTGCCTCGTCTTGATTTATAAGCAAAACCTAGACAACCTACAAAAATGTGTTTTGTAGTTTATCTAGGAATAATACAGAAAATATTGCTGTTATTTTTGGTGACGAAAGTCAGTTTTGTACAGTTTATTTTGACGTAAATAAAATGTGAATTTGTTTAAAAAAAGTTCTTGTAAATGTTTTGTTTTGTTTTTTTTAGTTTCATTAGTGGGCTATCTGAATATACAGGTTTTAATAGTTTCACTGGCCCAGCGTGGCTCAGTGGTTGAGCATCAGTCTATGAACCAAGAGGTCATGGGTTTGATTCCCAGTCAGGGCACATGCCCAGGTTGCAGGCTTGATCCTTAGTAGGCAGTGTGCAGGAAGCAGCCAATCAATGACTCTCTCATCATTGATGTTTCTATCACCCTCTCCCTCTCACCTCCTCTCTAAAATCAATAAAACAGTGGTTCTCAACCTTCTGGCCCTTTAAATACAGTTCCTCATGTTGTGACCCAACCATAAAATTATTTTCATTGCTACTTCATAACTGTAATGTTGCTACTGTTATTAATTGTAATGTAAATATCTGATATGCAGGATGGTCTTAGGTGACCCCTATGAAAGGGTCGTTTGATCACCAAAGGGGTCGCGACCCACAGGTTGAGAACCGCTGCAATAAATATATATATATAAAAAAATAGTTTAACAGTTCAAGGAAAATTAGATATTAAAGACTAT